AAGAGCTTTGCTCAAACTTTCTCTCTTAATGTTTGTGTCTGCTTTGTAATGTACATGTCATGTCTTGTCCTGGGCTGAAAAAAACAACACAGATTTGAGAACACTGCTTTGACTGTCACAGACAGATACTCACGTCTCCACCTGTCCCTCTCACCACAAACTGAAGAAATGCTGCAGAGCAAAGCAGGAGAGAAAAGGTGTGATAAAAACAGGAACCTTTTACGCACAAGCTAAGTGAAGGGGAAGAGACTTTTAAATGCACTGCTCTAACAGGTGTCATGATGCAAGCCTCTGTGGCTCTGCAGATGAGGAAAGCAATACTTAGAAAAAAAAAGTGTGATAATATTTTTGGGTTTTGGAAAACCTGACAGCCTCTCTAAAGTATTTTGATATCATCATTTAAGGAGAGATTTAACACAGATAATAGATATGAAAATCGGTTAAAAGTGTACTGATTGCACTTTCAGTATGATCACCTGAAGATAACCTCATTCATTACAGTTTCTCTGTTTTGGATTTGACTGCGACTTTTTGTAATATTTGTTGTTTCAATTTTTACATTTCAAAATAAAATAAAAAAGAATCAGATTGAATTTTTGCCAAGTTGTGTTTTAAATGTGTGAGGATTTTTTTTGTGATCAGGTTGTAATGGATCCTGTGTGTTCCTACATGTTAAGCTTTTGTGTGCAGTCCCATGACATCGCCTCCCACTCCTTAAGCTACACTGGCAATCAGGTCTGAGCAGTTACACCTGCGACAGTTCCAATTGCCATTAATTGCTGCACCTGGAAGAAGCACTATATACTCCTGGCTCTCCCACTTGGTAACCAGCAGATTCTTGAAGCTGTTATGTGAGCATACCTTTTAAAAATCCTAGTTTTACCCTCAAACTGTCTCTTTTCTATTTTCCCCTGTCCATGTTGCCCCTGTTAGACTTAGACTAATACAAATGTTATTGTCATTTTGTATAAACAAAGAGTACACAAAATGAAAAACAGGAAACATCTCTGTTCTCATACACCTGGTTAGGAATAAAGTAGAATTCAGCGCCAGTGTTTCCTGCCGAGGTATGAGTGCCAAAGTCTTAAAATAATTGTATCAATAAAATTCTTCTAATTTTTTTTCTTTCGGTGTGAGTTTTTCAGATTGAAATGAAGCCTATAGGCAGAAGTTCAACTGAAGAAACTACCTGCCTCATCATCAGAGGATCACCTGCCTCTGACGCAAACCAATCACCTTTGAATCAGCATCCAGAGTTAATTTTAAAAGGTCTTCAAATCCACGACTCTGCCTGCTACCCAGCCAGCGCAAGCCGTGTTTTTTGCTATGTCTGATTTTCACTCAGATGACCCCAATTCAACCCACCTCCATCCCCTTCTCCACCATCGTAGCTAAGCTCCTTCTGGCTTTTTCATGGTGCTTCTTCATCATCGTCCCTTTAAGAGTGTAATTACTCACAGACTCTTACTGCATTCCCTGTCACATCAAAACCTGTCAGGCGGAAGACCGCCATGTTGAGCCTCGTTCTGCCAGATGTTTCTTTCCAAGGGGGAATTTTTTCTCTCCACTGGCTCTTCATGCTTGCTCATCATGGACAGGTTCATGCAAACCTGTGTTTACCTAAGCTGGATATCTATCTTCCAGGTTCTAAGTGAAGCACTAGTATTAGCTCACACGGTTTACTGGATCTCACTAAGACAGCTCAAGCACATCATCTCGCCATCATCTCGCCACTAGACCACCAGTTTCAGGCCTGGGGGGGGGAAATTCCTGTTCTCATACACCTGCTTATGCATGTTAAAGAAAAATTCAGCGCTAATGTTTCCACTCTGCTAGCCAAAGTCTTAAAATAATGGTATCAATAAAATTCTTCTAATTGTCTCTTTTTTTCCATGTGAGTTTTTCAGATGGAAAAAGTAGTTTACTGTATGGAAAAGTTTAATGAGATTAGCAGGACCATTTTAGGTGATGGTAGAATCAAAGATGGAGCATATGTTACATGAATGGCCTTTGTGGAAGCATGTCTCAGCCTGTTTGTGGGCAGAGTTTTACCGTAACAGCTGAGGTAACATCTCTCAAGGACACATTCGATAGCTTTCAGGTTTTGTAGCTCACAGTTACAGCAGACAGCGGAGCAATCTGTCCTGTTTTTTTTATCTGTAAGTTTTAACATTTGGAATTTACAAAAACAAAGCAACCATACAGTCAAACACATTTGTCTTACCTACAGTGATTTTTTTAAAGGGGAGAACCTATGCAGGAATACAGGTTTCATTTGCAGACAAAAAAGGTTTCGTTATGACTAAAAATGCCATGTCTAAGTTTCATGATTGTACTTAAAATGGGTCGTCGTCTTTCTTTTTCTTACAGTTTTTCATTGTGTACAATTATCATTATTTTTGTTAGTCTTTTTAAAATGTTGGTAGAAATTGTTATAGATAACTTAACAATATTCTCAATTTACATTAAAATGTACAAATATCGCTCATAAATAGAATACCTGTATTTGGAATAAACATTTTTTTACTTGTGGTTTGGGATTACTTTACTTTATGTCTCAGTGTCCAAAATCTTGGACTCTACTACTCAGCACACCTAGAACCAAAACCAAACATGGAGAAGCAGAATTTAGTTATAATGCCCCTCAAATCTACGTCCCAGAAACCTGTAAAAGGAACCAAATCCTTACTTACTTTAAATCAAGTTTGAAAACAAATTTATTTAGAGTGATCTTTTAACGTGTGCTGTCTAATCATGATTTATTAGGTTTCCATTCTAATGCTCTGTAATTTTCTGAATCACTTAATCTTTTTTTTTTAAATATCAATAATTTAATCTTTTTTTATATGTTTAAATGTCCTTTTTTTTTTACTACTACTTACTTCAGGTGTTACTTTCTATTTACTTTCTTTTTTTTAAATCATATACAGTACTTAAAATTGCCTTGGCTCGGAACTGTGGTGCACAATAACTTGCCTTGCCTTGCCTTAAAGCTAAATGTTTTCCCTTTATTTTTCTCTCTACAAAAATCAAATAAATTGGACAGTATTTGAGGACATGTCCAGTCTGATTGTTCTTCCAGTATCTAAAATGTCTTTTAATCTATTTTAATCTTTTTTCGTTTGTTACCTATTCATTATTTAGGAAATGCAATTATTTACCTATAATGAGAAAGCTAAATGCTGTTGGAGCTATAGAGATTCAGCGACATGGCAGGGCATGAAAGCACCCAACAGTTTTGACAGTTACATTACGGCAAAACATTTTAGCTTCACAAGAAAAACACAGATTCTGATTATAGGACAAAAACACTATATATACTATAAATATATTAACATAGACATAAGTATTTGGAATAAAAATGTGAATTGGAATTAAAAAACCTGGTCAACATAACCGCGTGTCTTGACGGGATCTTTAATTGTTCGCTTACCCATACACATTCCAATCTGATCAAGCAATTTTAAGTAAGTGAACATAGGTAGAAGAGAAGGGAGTACAGTTACCCATGTAAACAAGATTAAACAACCAGTCAGAATGAGAGCAGAAGTTACAACATCTACCTGAATGTTGCAACAATTGCAGAATTTTAAATATCAGTGTTGAAAAGGAAAACGTGAATACTATGGTCACAATCAGAATAGCCTCCCAACAAAGAGCTTTTAACTCCTAGGACTTAAGCTATAGCTCTTGGTATACAATTCTCCTATTTGCTCCCTCTCTCTAAATTACAATATGATTTTTTTACCTAACGATCTGAAATTGGAGCTGAAGTTGCATCATTACTTATTTCCTCTCTTTATGCCATTATGCATGGAACCCTATTTTTTAACATTTTAATGTTATGTCATCATTCTTCCGCTTTTATTGTTTGGCTATTCTGCTACACTGTTGTCGCTTTCTTTTCTCAACTCTTCCTAATCTGTGAAAAAATCTTGTTCACTTTCTAAAATTATGTTCAAAGGACGATCAGCAATTATTTTCTTTTTTTAATTTAGCTGAACAAACAACTCTTTGTATCCAGTGTAGCATGACAGAATCTGTCATGATCCAATTTATAAAACCATTCAAAGTCCCTGTAAGAAAAGATGATCAAAACCATTCTATTGGTAAATTAAAGTTGTGTTTTTTTAACATGAAAGATTGATGATCATATAAAATAACAGTTCGTATAACACTTAAATTCCAAAAAATATTACAATGAATGTGGTCCATTGTCTTTTAATCAATATTTCTGAGATTGTAAATATTATAAAAGGTCTCAACTTTAAATACAAATGTAACTTTCCAAAGGATTAAATAGCCCTAAAGGGAAGATTCTGTTGTACGTCCTGGATTAATTATGATGACAGATGAAAATATCTACATAGGTTCAATGTCAGCACACAGGAACAGGTATTTCTTTGCAAAGCATTTCTTTTAAACTGGTTCAGAATCTGAAACACAGTTTGTAAGCACATGAAACTAATGAGTCAATCTCTGTTTGAGTGTGTTTATAGCAGGGAAATGTCACAATGCCAAATCTTCACATATTAAGAGGTATATACCAGTTCCAGTTCACTTTAAAAGGGCAAGGTGGTGGTGTGTTAGGATAAGTTGAAAAAATTATTTAGATAAGGTTTTATTGCAAACAATATTTGCCAGTTAAAATAATCTCAATAGTCAGACTTTAAAAAGCAGACAAGACTGATTCTTTCATTTTGTAGTTTAGTCATTGATAGTATGTAGTCATTGAAACCTAATTATTTGTAATCTTCCTGAACATCCAGTTTTTTTTATTGCAGTTTTTGTTATTTTTGAAATATACTGAGCATTGAGTACACACATCTATATTGTTAACTGTTGTTTTATTCCTGTTTTTTTTTTATTTTAACAAACCTTAATTTGTACAACCTCTTTAAAGACTATTTTAAATATTCAAAGTTTATGAATGTATAAAACTACAATTGTTAATCCCCCACCCACCCCGCACCATTGGCACTTTGATTTACCCTATGATGCAGCTGTCTCTTCTTTGGCTTCGCTGTTTCCTCTGTGCAGTCCTCTATTCTCTCAAGCTCATTTCTGCAGAGCAGCTGTATGAACTGCAACATCTGAACTGAGCCATTGAGTAAGTTTTGTTTTCATCCTTTTCTTTTATAGAATATTTGCACTTCATCCTCATACACATAGAAAAAACAACGTCTTTAAATTTAATGAGAGTTTATTTGGTGCAATTTGCTTAACATTAGGCATTTATAAGCATTACATTAATATAAATGCCTTTCTGTCTATGTTTTGTCGAGTCATTCTTATAAGTTATGTGATTTAATCGAACAGGTTTGTAGTTGATAGATTGTATTTGTAAAGTTTTTTTTTATTAACCTGAGGTTCTGTAAAATGGTTTGAGTTAAAGCATGTGGACCTCCTTTAATAATAGAAGGCTGAAAAATGAAAGTCATTCTAGCAGAGTAGGATTATTTCAATGGCCACATGGAAAAGCTAATAAAAATATGATCTTATATATAACCCCTTAGCTTATGTTGAATGTAAACCTTCATGTCCTTTTTATGACTCAAGCAACTAAAACTATCATCAGCATTTTTTAATTGATTTATTGTAATTATTTGAATAAAACATATTGCTTCTCTTTACAAGCAGAAACATTATCCTGCTTCAGTCAAAATCTATGTAAAAGCATATCTTGTGCATTAAAGACAGACAGCACCCCCTTGTGGCTGGACCCAAAACTCAACAAACAAAAACAACTAAAATAAAATTTCCCTTTTTCTTTCATAGTGAGGTGAATGATGGGAGCTGCTAAGAGTTCAACAGAGGAATATCAATGGTGGATGGGATTAGATCTGAATGAAAGCTATACTTTTGATTATAACGAAGATGAAGGGGATGTTTGTGACCTAAATCCAAAGTTTGAAGCTGTGTTCTTACCAACTCTGTACTCGCTGGCATTTTTGGTTGGTATTTTGGGGAATGGATTGCTGTTGGGAGTCCTGTTTCAGAGCAGGAAGAGTTGGAGTGTGACAGACACCTTCATCCTTCACCTGGCTGTGTCAGATATCCTGCTATTGATCACGCTACCCCTCTGGGCTGCACAGGCTGCTAGTAGCTCGGGGTGGCAATTTGGTTCTAACCTTTGCAAGACTACTGGAACTGTTTTTACGGTGAGGATTTTACCTTTTGATATGCATGCTCAGATTATATACTCTTTATATATATATAAAAAAAAAAAAACTCAATATCCCTTTTTTTTAACTTTCAGATAAACTTCTACTCTGGGATTTTTCTCCTGGCCTGTATCAGCATAGATCGCTATTTATCCATTGTCCACGCTACCCATATGTACAACCGCAGGAAGTCCTGGGTGGTTCATATGAGCTGTTTATTGGTGTGGGTCTTCTCTTTGCTCCTCTCCATCCCTGACTGGCTGTTTTTAGAGGTTGTGTCAGACGACAGACGGAACATAGAACAGTGTACTCGTAATTATTCCAAATTTACCAGCATCCCCGAAGAAATACAGACCCAAAGAATGGGAGCACGATGGCTATACCATGCTGTGGGCTTTTTGCTTCCTTCAGTTGTCCTGATTTTCTGCTACTCCTGCATCTTGCTCCAACTGCAATGTGGCTCCCAAAGCCTCCAAAAGCAAAGAGCTTTTAAAGTCATAATAGCTGTGGTGGGAGTTTTTTTTCTCTGCTGGACACCATATAATATTGTACTTTTGGCAGACACAATTCAAAACAACTCAACAGGCATCTCAACTTGCAGCTCAATGGCATCCATGGGAGAAGCTCTGACTGTAACAGCTTCTTTGGGATACCTTCACTGCAGCCTCAATCCTATTCTGTACGCCTTTGTAGGTGTGAAGTTCCGCCGTCAGCTGGTTATCATCCTGAAGTCTATGAGCTGCAAACTGAAGACCCGTATAAAATCAGAATCGTTCACCAGGAAAAGCTCCATTTGGTCTGACTCTAGAGAAACCTCAAATTCCATAGCAATCTGAATGTATAATATAAAACCAGCTAAAAAGACAAGTGACATAAATTAACCAGAAGGCTATAGCGTCCGTCATCAACTGCAAAGCAACAAGATACAGTTTTCTCATAACCAGGCAGCTGTGTAGGATAAGATAACTTGGAATTTATTTTGACATGTGAAAGAAAAAAATGGTGCATTTGTATATATTTTAAACTGCAAAACATTTAAATATAAACAGGCTATTTTTTTTTTCTTAAAATAAGTGCATTTTGTCTTGAATTGAGGAAGTAAGTGAGACACTTTGCCAATGGAACAAGATGATTTAGATTTAAAATAAGAAAAAACAATTGCATTCTGTTATTTCAAGTCCATATTATCTAATTATTTTATTCTAAGGGTAAAAATACTCATTCCATTGGCAGAGCATATTATTTATCTGCTCAAATTAAGGGTGAATACACTTATTTTAAGAATTTCTGACTAATTTTAAGATAATTTTTGCAGTGTATAATAAGGTTTTGTATATATATATATATATATATGTATATATATGTATATATCTTTATTTTGCAACATTTAATTACATTATCTTCATGTTAACTGTTAAAGGAGCAATAAGTTAAGGTATTGACAGTATATTTAACCAAAACTATTCTCATTTGTCACTCAGAATTGAAGTAAAATTCGCTATAAAAAAAATCTGTCTTTTCTATCAACAATATCTTGGTCAACTTTTTCTCCTTTTAGAGCTGTAGGTATGTTTGGCAGTGTACAGCTTGTGTCTAGTTCCTGCTCTCTTAACCATTTATGTTAGAATTCCCAGGCTTACCGAAACAGAGTGCAGAATTAAGTATTTTAGAGTAGCAGCCCACAGACATATCCAGTGAAAGAAGAGAACCAGTAACAGTCATAACAGTACCTAAAAACCCTTGGCATCCTACAGAAGTATTAGCAAAAAAATGTACTGTGGCTAAATCATCTTCATCGTCATCTTAAATTTAGCTGTTCTACAGTACATCATTGTCTCTCTTATAGCTGTGATTCTAATTACTTATTGCTTCTTTAAAGAACTGAATAAAATATATTTTTTATCCTTGAGTGTGTTGTTTTTGTAATGAAGATGACCATATATAACCAAATAAACCAAGATAATTCTACTAAAATGAAAAAAAAAACTTTTCTAAGGTGTCCCGTCTAAGAGCCAGGAAAATAAAACATTACTTACACCACACTACACTACCTGGTTAATATGACAGAAACAACTATGTTTGTCAGTTAGTAGTTATCTGGAAGTTATAAAACAACAAGTCAGGCCACATGCAGGACGATAAAAAAGTGAAATTTCTAATACTTATGTGGGAGTGGCGGATCCCATTTTCTGTCTGCCTACTTTAAAAGAAATTTCAAAAGGCCACTACAGCATATAATTATTTAAACCTGTTAAACTATGGAGGAAATAAAAATTGCTACATGGTCTCATCCACTGTGCCTGCCTCTGCTTCCTCTCTGTATGAATATTGGATGACATAGCAAGACTGGTTAATGTAGTTTTGGCACAGGTACAATTTTATTGAACACTTTAAATAATTTCATTAAGTTTATCTTTAGTTTAACATGTAATTAGAGTGCAATTATTCACTTTCTGTCTTGCTGATATTGATATTCCACTTCCCTGAGGGCTGGATCAAAGCGTGACCAAATACTCAAATTATGTGATGATTTTACGTAGCAACTCAAAGGAACTTTTAGGAACGCCAAAAGAGACTTGTCTTGCTTAAGTATCAATGATTAAGGTCAGTAGACATACCAAGAGAAGGTAGACAATAAAGGCATTTAAAACCTGTGAGACATAGTACTAATTCAGGATTCCCAATTAGTCATCTCTTACAACCTTTTAATCACCCCTGATACAGTTACTGAGGGAAAAGAACAGACCAGACATGATGCAACTGGGAAAAATAACAGCTATGGTTTGTTATTTCAATTCAACTCCCCCATTTCCAGCTCCATTTATAGAAGTATAGTAGTACAGTAGCAAAGTGAGTCCAGTTACAAAACCAACTAACCAAACCCTACCATTGAGGAGGAGACAATCACTGAGTTATGGGAGCCTTAGTCTGGTATTTTATGTTTAAAATCCTTCTGAAATGTCTTTAATTTGATGTTTCATCAATTTTAAGAGAAAATAAATAAATTCAGCTCATTCGGAGCAAATTTATACCCTTATTTTCCACAAGGGTACACATGAGCATTTGACTTTCATATGAATGTAGAGTTAGCATCATTAGCAGTTTGCTATGGTTTGTTTAGCATTGCTCTCCAGTTTCTTACAGGATGAGTAAAAAGTGAGTGGCTATGACAGATTTATGTAGAGCTGTCATTATTACTCACCTCATCCAGGAAGCACCTGCCTTTACTGCACTGCACCTGCACAGACTTTGCTCAGTCTTCCAAAGGAAGAGCACAATTATCAGAGATGCTGTAATATCATGCAGTAGAAATACACCAAAACCAGAGAATTTATTCTAGAATTATTTCACTGTTGTTGCAAATCTCATTTTGCATCAGACCATACCAGTGCATCTGTTCCATGCTGCAGTGACTCTAGGTCGGCGTCATTAAAACAGCAACAACTACACAGGGAGAGGTTGCATGGTGAAGGTAACTGTCTTACAGGTTGCAAGAAAACAGTTTATAGTACATAAAAATTCAAAGGGGCCCAAGGATATATATCATCACATACTCTATATACCCATTGTTGAAAGCTTAAAAACAACTCAAATCCTACTTAGACCAATCTGGACATGAAAGCATCTAATGTGATTGATATTTGCAGATCTCTTTTAGTAAGATGTGGTAATGCGTATAAAGTAATGAATGTGGATGGTGAATCTCTATTATCTCTAATGCTTTATGACATTCATTATGTGAAACTGCTAGGACAACCAACACAATGTATACATTAAAAGAAAATGAAACTATTATTTTCATGGCTGGGTAAAAGAGAACAATAGCGCTGGGCTTTTTGTGGTTTATTGGGAAACCTATGTTTCATCATTTACGTCAAGCACTGTCCCAACTCTCCATTAAAATGAACTAAAAATCAAACGCTAAAATCATGTAAATCCATGTTGGTCAATCAGTGTTTATTTTCTCTGGCCTTGGGCTGTGACCGTTTATGATTTCATTTTATTGTGTTGTTCATTTCTTAAGTAATCAGTGGCTACTTATCACTCCAATCTAATAAGGAAAATTTATGAAATGTATTAATTTGAAGTGCAAACAGAAGCTGGACAGTTCAACAGAATAAAAAAAAAAAAAAACCTTTTAAAGTTCCCCTGGTGGAGTTTGGGGGGTGGTTGGGGGGCTGGAGTATTTTTGGTTCCTCCTTAAATTGTTTTGCAAGACCTTTACTAGCATTTGTGCAATACTTGTCTGAGCTTCAAGATTCAACAAGATTGGTAAGGTATTCATACCAATAATCTTTTATGCTCAAACAGAACTTGCCTTTTATAAATACTTAAAGGTAATTTATTTTATAAAAGGTCATATTTATTGCTTGAATATATTCTTTGGTATTTTTTACTTTGGCACAACTGTAAGTCATTTCGCATCAAAGTAATACTAAAGAAAGTCCTACACTATGGTACATTTAGAGTGGGACTTGAGAGCAAACGATTTTAGGTTAATATCTTTGCAATGCTCTACGAAGTGCTCTTGTTCTTTTTGTAGTTGTTCTTTTAGCAGGGATTCTTTCATGCTATATTGGATTATTAGTGCCCACAAGTGTCTTGTTTTTGTCTTTATAAGTGACCGCTGTCTTACACCCCTGTTCTCAGTGTACACTGGATATCTCTTTTTAAATCTTTAAATTGTTTGTGGATATAATGTATGATTGGGGGATTTTTATAGCTGCCTGTTTTCCTAATAAGAAATTATAAAAAATTTTATTTTGGTTAAATTTTAATGTAGAAGACTTCTTCAAACTTGTTCTGTTGTTTGATTTTGTGGCACTTAATTGGGATTCAATTAAAAATTAAAATAATGGATCCATTTTTCTGGATGATTAAAAAAAGTTCATTGGAGTTTATAATCCTCATACAAATGCAATTTATAGTTGAGCACCCGTATTTCCTCTTTAATATGTAGTCTAAGCTATTTTCATTTCCCTATAGGGTGGCCATTTCTATAGCACCAAAAAGGAGGACATTGTGCGGCATATCAATAAATTACTAAGGTGTACATAAGAATCGGGTAAAGTCACATTTATAGCACAATTCTTAGTAGTTTAAAGAGGATGCTTGTGTAGCTGAATAGAACAAAATATTAAAGAAATGTAAAAAAAATTGGTTCCCAGCATTTGTATTTATTTAATACATTGTGGTGTTTAAAAAGGGACCATTTTTTAACACGATTAATTTGCGCAGAACTGCTGCAATTGATCATAAAGCAGTTGTTTGGAAAAGAAGCTCGAGAAAGAGCTAGAGAATAGGACGATGCAAACTGCAAAAAGTGGCTGGAAAAGAGGAATTCATGACATGGCTGCAGCCTGTCGAGAGTAAAGATGATTTCACCATGTTCTATCCATATATATATATATATATATATAAACTTGAGTCATGGAACTGTGCTTACAGCTCCTTATTTCATGTAAACTAATAACTTATGTACATGATACTTGTTGATGGCATTAAAATTATTTCTAATAGCATTAAAAGAGCATTAAATTAGAGTTCCTCATTCCTGTATAAAACCTGTGAACGCTTAATTTAATCTGACATATTAAAAAAATCCCCATCATCATCCAGCAGATGTTCAGTTTCTGCCCAAAAATTTTCTTTCTGTTGTGGATTTTTGTAACAGGGATAACTAGGATCATACATAGTTTGTATGAACTCTGTTTATTCTCTGCTTCCAAACTCATCATCTCTTCATCCATTCCTGCAATAAGAATTTTCTTTTAAAGTTGTGAGATTCAATCTAGAATCTCACAACTTCTTCCTGGTCTGTTGAAGCACCAATAGTCTGCATCCAATTATTTAATTAATTGCTCTTAGTTTTTGGGAATATATACAAACTATGCTCTAATTTCTAGATACCGACCTGTTTTTACTATAATTTAATTTGACAAACCGGGTCTTCTCTACATTCTTTTTTCTGTTTGGTGCGATTGCAATAGCGGGTCTTGATCTGGACGGACCGGAGGGGAGCAAAACATAGCTCAGCTCCGTATTTTGACGGTGA